TTCCTGTCATAATAAATTGGTCCCATAAGTTTTTTCGCCGTCCTAATAGCCTCCTTATTTCACTAGTAATCCAAGTGGCTTGTGCGATAGCTTTCGAGGAGCGTACCAAGGTATAAAAGGTGAAGTGACACAATCTAGTGTATTTCTAAATCCTACCCACGCTTCCTCGACAGTCCGACTTGTATCTACTGACCAGTCAACTGTAGTTGCTGCGTTCCGGATTCCTTGTATATCCGCTTTCTAAATATTTGGACGAGCAGATTTTGACCTGCGTATAAGGGAATGGATCTTAAACGTAAAGGCAGTGACTGTGTGGTCACTGCTGCCAAGCGGTGGAAGGCACCTAATGTCACCAACGTCCTCCTTCTGGTGTGTTAATACCAAGTCTAGAGTAGATGGATCATGTTCCGGGTGATACCGTGTTGGTGCATGCATATGTTGCACGGGTGCACATTCAAGCACTGTCAATGTGAACTCCCTATTGAAACAGGTATACAAACTAGTGGAGTTTAATTCCCCCCAGTTAATGTGTGGAGCATTAAAGTCGCCAACAACCAGACACCTATTTCTACTACCCCACGCCCTCAAGTGATTTAGAACGAAGTCATCAGCTTGGCTAGCAGGACTTCTGTAAATAACCCCGATCGTCTAAGTGCCCCTGCTCAGATTATTAACGCAACTTGCAGCCTCACTGGTGCCGCTGTCATGAGCTTCTGACAACGTTGGCCTAATCCCTATGTCATCGCGGATGTATAGAGCAACCCCACCACCTTTCCGACTACTTACTCTATCTGCTCGAATGCAGATGTACCCAGGTATGATTAACATTTATCAAGTGGATGCATAATCTCCAGCGAACATGTAAGGCATACCTTGCTACTGCCTGTAAATTGTGATTGAATTATATGGTTCTATTTCTTTAACAATTTGATGATGGCTGTAAACTGGCGTCCCTCATTTACTGTAAAATGAGAATAAATAAATTTATGTATTTATTCATAAGCGTAAAAGGGGAATATATTATTGTAAGACGCATTTTATTGTTTTATGAGGGAATTAACTTCAAGCTTTATTTATTTTCCCAAGTATATGTAATCCATCAAACGCATACTTGGGTTTTTTTGTTAATGCGAAGTCAGTATCTCCATATTTGTTGGTGTGTTCCATTGAATCATTAGTTATCCGATTTTCCCCACAAACTAAAGATAAAATGACAACAACCATGTTATTAAACCGTAATCCATGTAATATACCTCGCGGTACTCTCGAATTTGGTGACACTTTTGCACGTGTTTTCGCTGATATTCATTTTTCAGTTCTGCTATATTATCACAAATAATAATGGGCAAAAACTCTAACAAGCGTATTCTTAGGAACTCTAGTAATCTAGAAAATAGCTTAAGCTTATCTAGTGACGTATTATCACCCCTAAAATCAGCTTTAATTAGTAGTTCACCCAATACAAACATAATGCTAACCCCTGTAATACAGGTGGAAGATATCCTGTCAGCAAAGGCAGAGATTACTGACTTAGTCTCTATCATAAACGACATGCAGCTACAAATAAATGACCTTAGGACGAAACTAAATCTACTTGACCAGGTACCAGAAACAATCTTGCATCTTAAAAAAGAACTGAGAGATCTCACCTTCCTAAAACTGTTTAAATTGAAGACTAAGCCAACCGATGCTGAAATGGAACATGTTAAGGAGCTAGAGAACGCTATGGACTATCTATCGAGCGAAGTTGTTAAGAGACTTGCTTCTAAACAGAACGCCATAGTGTACAACATACCTGACAATGAGCCCATAAAGTCGGTTCAGCACTCCTTGTTAAGAGCTGCAAACCTCTTAAGTACACCCTGTCAGTGTATCAGACTAAATAAAAAAGAGTTAAACCGCACATGTCCCATACTTTTCAGGTTTGACAGCTGTATAATAGCAGAACAATTTAGGAAATCTGGAGATACTTTGGCCTCCACCACGAAATTCAAAAATGTTAAGATAGTCTCGGACAAAACCCCCAACCAACGACAGGTAGCTAAAAATACCTTAGATACGAAGACGATTATACCACAAATCATGAATAGCATCAGTGCCGAAGTATCGAAGGACACTGAAGCACAAAGTGACACTTGCATTGTACTAGGTGAACAAGCGACACGCGAAGGTGAAGGGAAACCCAAAAAGGGCAGTAACACTGGAATGAGTCTCAACGTTCTTGAGAACACTCCTAGGAAAGCTACCGACCCCGCACATGAGGTAGACATAGATGCTTCTGTGACAGATAACCTACAAATATCGGCAGATAACACTACACCCAGGGCCAAGCAAGGTAATCTCCCTGTAAAAGCTGAAAAGAAGTCAGCTGAAACCAAGGTCTCTCCACAGGCGTCCACATATCTCCCTTGTGACAAGCCCAACAAGCAGCATGTAAGCCTAAAAAAGAGCTATGCACGCATTACGGCAGGTCCCATGAAGGAGACGGAACACGAGGGTGGAAGTGCTCTTCGTCGAACTAAGGGTGGTAGACAAACTGTGGATGACAGACTATACGAGGTCAAAACTAACAGCAAAAATAGCTCTATCCGCACAAAATCACACTCTAGCAGAAACGCAAGAGGAGCCGAGCTGATTAAACAACAGGGTCAGACCCACGATTTCCGTAATAGCCGAGGTTGTAATATGCCTATGGGACCCAGAATAAATAATCAAAACACATGGGCTACTAGACGGGACACCACTAGGTACCATATGGATGGAAATGCATACTCGAACCCTCGTAGTAGCTACGTAAATCCCCATCAGCATAACGGGTATAGATTGAATCATGGTCCTTCTATGTACATGCACGAAATGAGTCCACAAATGTACAACTGCGAAAGACTTGGCACGCACTACCCTCAAAACAACCTAGAAACAGGTTATTTCGGCCCTGTAAATAACAATCTGAATAGTGAAACAGATTATCTAATGTCAAGGAATGATTCCAGATACCCATGTAATGAGGCCAGAAACCAATATATGCAACAGGATTATTTTCGGTTGCAGCAAACAATAGCCCCTCTTGCAGCACAATTTGTTCAGGGAATAGTAGACACACTGACAATGTCTCATCTGAGAATCCCTCGGAACATAACATAGGCAACCAGGAGTTAGGGACAGTAACAAGAAAACCCACTAATTACCCTCCCAACAAAACTGGTTTTCTAAAAATTATGCTCTTAAATGCTCGATCTCTCCTTAACAAAATAACTTCCCTTCGCAGCTTGGTATAAATGAAACGGCCAACACTGATCCTGGTAACTGAAACTTAGCTAACTAATGATATACCTGACACAAAGCTGATAATTGATAACTATGACATCCACAGGACTGATAGAGTGGACAAAAGAGGAGGCGGGTGTCTAATATATGCTTCTAAATCTACTGACCCCAATACTTTTACAAACCTAACTATCGACAAACTCCCAGAATCTAAGTGGATAAGCATCCACACGAATGAAACTAAAATTCTAGTGGGATGTATATGCAGAGCCCCCAGCAGCCCTAAAACGACTGATACGGTTATCGCAGAAATACTAGAGCATGTACCTACCCTGAAATTCGACTACAAAATAATTTGTGGCGATTTTAACCTCCCCGGAGTGAACTGGGATACCTGCACTGGACCTAGAATCTATGACGAGCTCCTAGAAGCTATAGATGTAGGAGGATGGAAGCAGTGTGTACGCCTCCCAACGCGACATAACAATATTCTCGACTTAGTCCTCTGCCACAAAATAGAGCCGATCTCGATAGAGGTGGGGGATAAACTCGACAACAGTGATCACAACATACTGTACTGCACCCTACCTCTTCAACTAATAACTAAACACACACCTAAAAATTCCCCGGTTCACTATCAATATAGGGACTATAGAAATGCCGACTGGGAATTCCTACCAACGCTCTTGAGAAGCTCTGACAGGGATGAATACTTTACCAATGATAACTTAGAAGTAACACTTGATACCTTCTACAAGACGGTCAGTTCGGTAAGAGATACAATCGCACCCCTAAAGTCTGCCTTAAGGACACCAACTCTTTTCATAGACCGCAAAACGCGATTAAAACTAAGGAAATTGAAAAGGAAATTTTATTTATATAAAGAATTTAGTGCATTACACCAGATACATGAAACATTTAAAAATCTTGAGCAGAGACATAAAATGAAGGCACAACTCGAGGAAAATAAAGCCCTAAGGGGCACCTCTAAAACTCAGGAACTCTGCAAGATCCTGCAAAAACGACTAAACAAGGGTAAAGAAAATAATGTTGGCCACTTGGAGCATGAAGGTATAATTTATGATGATCTCCAGATTATTTGTGAACTCCTAAACCAATGGTTCTCCAAAAACACCAAAGCGCATCCGTCTCCAATCCTCGATGTAACCTGCAAAAATAACTACGAGTTAGGTGAAATCAACTTTAATATGCAATATATAGCATCAGCGGTAAAGACACTAAAAGCTAACGGTAATTGTGGGATAGATGATATACCATCTATCATTTATAAAAACGGTGGCTCGGATATGATAGTACTATTACTTAGAATATTCACCCTCTCACTAGTGACTGGGACCTACCCTGAAACTTGGAAAAACACGTATATACTACCTAAGCATAAAGGAGGGGCCAAAACTAGTGCATGTAATTATAGGCCTATCAATATAACACCTGTCATATCAAGGATCATGGAGAAAGTAATCAAAGACCAAATGTCAGACTACTTTCTAAAACACAAACTCATCAACCAGTCACAACACGGGTTCCTTACTAACTAATCTGCTCGTGCACTCCTCCGAGCAAATAATTAAACCTACCGCTGTCATCAGTTACAATCTTAGAAATCACCACAACCTAGTTGCTATAGAGCACTGTCAGACTCACATGCGGTATAATTTCTTCTTAAATAAGTTTTCAGTCATTTGGAATAGACTACCAGCTGATGTGCGCGATGCAAACACACTCGCAGTGTTCATCTCCTCAGTCACCAGACTGCTCAAAGATGACAGTGCACTTCTGCGTCTGAATCCTACACCCACCTTTTCGTCCAACATAGATATTTTAAGTTCATTAAACGTGTAGTTACAACAAACTACAATTATAAATTTTTATATTATTGGAAGTACATGATAGACATTTTTACACAGGACAATAATATTAGTTCACACAATATAAAAGTTAGCATCACGGGGATAGTTAGTTAGTGCACCAAAATAACTATGATTACTAAACAGAATATAAATGTATATATACATATTAATCACTCCCTAAGTACTCCACTTGCTTTCTTCTGCGTTGTTGTTGTTTGTCTTCTTTTGTCTCTCACCATTTCAGCTTCCATTTGACTTTTTGAATGAGAATGAAGAATGTGGATATTTGACCATTTACAATGACAAATGATCTGCAAACATTATTGGTCCGATATCTTACAATTCCCTCTTGAATTACGCATTGCATTTCCCCACGACGTAACTTGGATTACAGTTGTGAAATATACCTTCATACCAATAAAAAAGTATTGATTTATAATACTTCATGATTGTATCTTACAACATAACTGATCTTGTCTGCAAAATTAGCTTGCATTTCTTGAAAATACCCGTTTATAAGAATATATAAACTATCATTATTATTAGTCTACATTGTGTACAACTCACTTATGATGTTACGATGAAAATGCTGACAAAAGTATACAAGTGGATTACTTATTTGAAATTATTATCAAATTTGGATATAAATCAAGAATAAGACTCGATGCCGTACACACCAAAGTTATATGGAAGAATTACTTCAAGCTTTATTTTTTTCCCAAGTATTTGTAATCCATCCAAAACATACTTAAATTTTTTTGTTAATGTGAAGACAATATTTCTATATTTCTTGATGTACTCCATTGAATGGCTAGTTATCATATTGTTCCCATAGACAAAATGACTGCAACCTTATAATTTTAACAATGAAACAAATTTATGTAATTTAAATAATACTTATCCATGCCTGTACAATTGGTGTGTCCTACACAGGTAGGAAAAAATGTATTTTATTGAATTACTTTTATTAAATATGCTTACTAATCGTATATGTAATTTATCATATTGATGATGCCTGTAAACTGGCGTCCCTCATGTACAAAATGAGAATATACTATTATTATTATTAAGAAAAGATCTTGCGTCACTTGTCATATAGACTTTTTCAACGAAGTCACCTATAGAAGAGATAGGAGAGAACTAGTAATTGTCCTCTATTTCGATATCAGGAAAGCCTTCGACAGAGTCCCACATAGTCTGTTAGTCAGCAGGCTATGCTCACTAGGGGTACGCAACCCCCTCCACAACTGGATAAAATCATATCTCAGTGACAGAAATCAGACAACAAAAATTGGCTCGATGACCTCCAGGCCTAGGCCGATTAGCAGTGGTGTCATCCAGGGGAGTGTATTGGGACCCCTTCTTTTCATTATATACATAAACAGTATATGTGAGCGCTTTAGTATAGGCAAGCCAATACTGTATGCAGATGACTTAAAGGTGACATATACCTGCACAAACACAGATATCGGTACAACTATGAACTCCATACATGAAGAATTAACAAAAATGGATATATGGTGTGACACCTGGAGACTTGAGTTTAATGTCGAAAAGTGTGGCTGGCTCTGCATAGGCTGTCCCAACCCAGAACTCGACCTAGCAATTCAGGGCCACAAAATCCCTAGACTCAAATCTGTGCTAGACCTAGGACTGACATATTCACACAATCTATCATTTTCTGAACATATCTCGAAACAAGTATCGAAATCACGCAGGCTTATTGGTTTCCTACTCAGGAACTTCTACAGAAGTGAATCCAGAATACTACTGTACAAGGTTTGTGTGCGCCCACTCCTAGACTATTGTTCATTCATATTTAGTAATATACGCATAGAAGACAAACTAAAAGTAGAAGGAGTACAGAGGTACTTCACGCTAAAAGTAATCGGAACCGAAAACGGCACAAACTACTCTACCAGATGTGAAATTCTAGGACTAGAAACATTATGGTCAAGACGGCTGCGACCAAATCTGGTACTCTTCTATAAACTACTTAACCGCATAGTGTATACCCCTACTAATTGTACTCGGTTTTCAGAAGACACTGGATATAACCTTAGACACACTAAAGGTACGGTGGCTATAGAACAATGTAAAACAGCCACCAGGCAAAAATTTTTCATGATTAGGTATGCCCAAATATGGAACAAACTACCTGAGGAAATGTGACTAGCAAGCTCACTAGTGTCCTTTGAAAAGGCACTTAATGACACACTAGGTGAGATTGCAAGTGATGCCAGTGCTAATACCCATGTAAGAGCTTCAGAAATTATAGGCCCATTTAATGTATGAACTTAGAGACTACACCTGTTGTTTCTTTTGCCTTTATCTATAATTTCAGACAAACAAGCAGCAGTCATGAAAATAACACTCATACAAATAAGAGTCGATCGAATTATGTCTACCTGATACAAAGCCTGAACCATAATCAACATACGAATGAAATATGAGAAAACAAGGTCGAGACTTACCACAACATCACATGGAAGGATATAAGTTACTTGGACATTATTTATAATCCACCAACTGGTCTCCTTTCCAAAAGGAATGCGGCGATACTTTATCCACAGTGATGAGGAAATACATAAGTCCACAGTTCCCGTTGTATACACTGAGTGGAGATTGCAGCCAACAAAGTAATGCATTTAAAGCATATGCACACTTCCCATAATCACGGCGACACCGCGGAATATATCAAAATCGCAGAGTAATCAAACCCAACACGCGATGTAATTAGTTGAATCCGAAAGGCAAACCAGTTGTAGTACTTATCTGAATATTCATCCATATGTCGATCATGATGACAAATCCAAATCACTACCTATACAGCGTCAATAAATCTGGATATCTATGAAATGACGAAAATATGCTGATAGCTGCATCTCAGATCCCAATGACTCATTCGATGGCAAAATTCTGCTCCTGCATGCCTCTTTCGACATTTTGTATGGATTGGTTCGCAGTTACTCAGGTTCCAGACAGAAAAGAATAAAAATTCATCAGTTGCTGAATTATAATTACTTCTCTGCATGTTTAACTGGATACTAACTGCTGTGGTGAGCCTTTTGCAGTTTATATTGCTTAAAACATCGTTTACGGTAAACTAACTAACGTTTTATAAGCCATTTTTATACTTTTGTGACTAGCCCACCATATCGATGTTACACGCAAGCAACAACCACAACCAACGGAAAAGGAAGAAGACGAAGAGACGAGAGGGT